AAGCAGGTAATGGTTACGCCCATTCTAGACCTAAATGGGACTTCGGCTGTCCGTTGGCTAGAATTGTGGGTGCAAAAGGTTCGGCTTTCTCTTCCTTGCTACTCTTTGGGGTGAATGCTGATGTTGTGTTTGCAGATTCATTTCTAGATCAGCCTAGTTGTTGGCTAAGCATGTGAGCCGCCTGTGGTTTTATAGCTTATTTTTGCATTTAAAAAAAGTCAAATTTGGATCAGGGCAACAGTAGCAGTGATAGAGGGCACAGCCTAAGAATAGTAACCACAGTTTATTTTTGATTTGACCAAGGCTAAACTGAAGAGACACAAACCGTGATAAGAGATGATGAGAGATAACCAGTTTATATATCAGACTCTGGTGCCAGGGAGAAAGTTAGGCTGAAGTCTTCTTGACAACTCCATTATTATCTGCAAATAATTTGTAAAGGCACTGGGGAAATTCGAGGGCCTAATAGGTCTAGATTAATAAAAGAGGAAAATAACTATTTTGTTCTGCTTAGTGGATAAACTGGCTCCATGTTTCATTGAGTTCTACCCTCCTACTACAGAAGAGGCCACAAAGAAGGTGGTAAGGCATAGATTTTAAGAAAGGAATTCAAACGCAGGAAATTGTCTTTTTTTAAAAAAAAAAAACAATTACTCAGCTGATGTGGAGGTAATCAAGTTACCTGCAGTGATCATGTGACTCAATACGGGAAAGCTTGCTAAGCAGTTGACATTTCTTTCCTAGACAAAGATGAATGTTCGAAGGATAACGGGGGATGCCAGCATGAATGTCTCAACACTTTTGGCAGCTATGAGTGCCAGTGCCGCAGTGGCTTTGTGCTACATGACAACAAGCATGACTGTAAAGAAGGTATTACACCTTATTTTCTTAATGAAAAGGGCTCCTGCTCTGAGTCTCCAAAGACTACGGTCATAATGTTTCACTAAACTCCATATGCAAAAAAAAAAAAAAAAGTTATTTGGATCAAGTTGTCTACTTATGTGGATGCTCTCCATATCCAACATGGCAATATGTTGCGTGACATTCATTCCTTCATTTCGTTTTGGTTTAGTAATTAAGCCAAGAAAATACTGTGCATTAGACATTTCATCCCATATTTTTGGGGGCAGGATGAGACAATTAGCGGTTCAAGACCGGTACTATATTTACAGAAAATTCCAGTTTCCGTTTAAGGGTTTCAAGGTTGCAGATCTTAGGGGGGGGGGAAATCTCTCCTTGAGATGCTATAACAGAAAGCCAATGCTAATCTGATAAATACACATGGTTCAGGTAGATAAATATGGCTCAATAGGTGTGATTAAACCTGGTTGAAAGATGCTATCTTTCTATGAGGTCAGATTTGGTAACGGCTCAATACAGTGACTCTATATTGGATGGATATCTGCAAGCTGGATTGATTTAGGAAGGAAATCTTTTGGCACTTGCCTATTTATGAACTTGTTTTTTCTTCTAGCTGGCTGTGATCACAAGATGACATCCATCACTGGAACCATCACCAGTCCAAACTGGCCTGATAAGTACCCAAGCAAGAAAGAATGTACCTGGGCAATAACAACTACACCAGGACACCATATCAAATTGGTAAAGTACCAGGAAGAAGATAGTAAGATAACAATAGGCACAAATATTAATAGATCCTGATCTCATTCCCATAATGAACTATTATTCCATGCTGTGCATCAAAGAAAAGAAAGCTCTTTCATTGATTATAGAAGGACAGAATAAAATTATCGGGAAGCAAAATCCTAACTTAAGCATTATCTGAACAACGTGCCTCCTTGTTAGCATCTACAGTCCTCCCACACATCAATTCATTAATCCAGAAAACTCCTGCCCACGTGGCTTCTGTGGATTACACAATTTCAGATATGATAGTGGCATCCATTATTGACTGATTGATAAGCGAAAGGTTTTTATAAAACCCAGCTGAAGGCCTAGGACTGGAGCGACGGCGCGCGTGCCCACAGAGAGGGCTCTGTGCCATAGATTCGCCACCACTGGTTTATGCAATCAAGGATCATATTAGCCTTTTTGGCTGCTGCCGCACACTGCTGGCACATATTTAAATGATCGTCCTCTAGTATTTCATGATCCCTCTCAATTTTTGAGCCAGGTTTCAGCTAATCTCTACTTGCACATTTGGTTTATCCTGCCTAAGTGCAGGGCTTTTTTTATTTATTTATTTATTTATAATTTAATTTATACCCCGCCCTTCTCCTCATGGGACTCAGGGCGGCTAACAGCCTCATAAAAACTACAATACAAATACAATAATTAAAAGCCGAATTAAAAAGAAATATTTAAACAGGCCGATCAATTAAAATTATCCTTAAAAATCCCCTGAAACTTTAAAATCGTTAAAAATTATNAAGCAGGTAATGGTTACGCCCATTCTAGACCTAAATGGGACTTCGGCTGTCCGTTGGCTAGAATTGTGGGTGCAAAAGGTTCGGCTTTCTCTTCCTTGCTACTCTTTGGGGTGAATGCTGATGTTGTGTTTGCAGATTCATTTCTAGATCAGCCTAGTTGTTGGCTAAGCATGTGAGCCGCCTGTGGTTTTATAGCTTAATTTTGCATTTAAAAAAAGTCAAATTTGGATCAGGGCAACAGTAGCAGTGATAGAGGCACAGCCTAAGAATAGTAACCACAGTTTATTTTTGATTTGACCAAGGCTAAACTGGAGAGACACAAACAGTGATAAGAGATAACCAGTTTATATATCAGACTCTGGTGCCAGGGAGAAAGTTAGGCTGAAGTCTTCTTGACAACTCCATTATTATCTGCAAATAATTTGTAAAGGCACTGGGGAAATTCGAGGGCCTAATAGGTCTAGATTAATAAAAGAGGAAATAACTATTTTGTTCTGCTTAGTGGATAAACTGGCTCCATGTTTCATTGAGTTCTACCCTCCTACTACAGAAGAGGCCACAAAGAAGGTGGTAAGGCATAGATTTTAAGAAAAGAATTCAAACGCAGGAAATTGTCTTTTAAAAAAAACAACAAAAAAACAATTACTGAGCTGATGTGGAGGTAACCAAGTTACCTGCAGTGATCATGTGACTCAATATGGAAAAGCTTGCTAAGCAGTTGACATTTCTTTCCTAGACAAAGATGAATGTTCGAAGGATAACGGGGGATGCCAGCATGAATGTCTCAACACTTTTGGCAGCTATGAGTGCCAGTGCCGCAGTGGCTTTGTGCTACATGACAACAAGCATGACTGTAAAGAAGGTATTACACCTTATTTTCTTAATGAAAAGGGCTCCCGCTCTGAGTCTCCAAAGACTACGGTCATAATGTTTCACTAAACTCCATATGCAAAAAAAAAAAAAAGTTATTTGGGTCAAGTTGTCTACTTATGTGGATGCTCTCCATATCCAACATGGCAATATGTTGCGTGACATTCATTCCTTCATTTCGTTTTGGTTTAGTAATTAAGCCAAGAAAATACTGTGCATTAGACATTTCATCCCATATTTTGGGGGGCAGGATGAGACAATTAGCGGTTCAAGACCAGTACTATATTTACAGAAAATTCCAGTTTCCGTTTAAGGGTTTCAAGGTTGCAGATCTTAAGGGGGAAAAAATCTCTCCTTGAGATGCTATAACAGAAAACCAATGCTAATCTGATAAATACACATGGTTCAAGTAGATAAATATGGCTCAATAGGTATGATTAAACCTGGTTGAAAGATGCTATCTTTCTATGAGGTCAGATTTGGTAACGGCTCAATACAGTGACTCTACATTGGATGGATATATGCAAACTGGATTGATTTAGGAAGGAAATCTTTTAGCACTTGTCTATTTATGAACTTGTTTTTCTTCTAGCTGGCTGTGATCACAAGATGACATCCATCACTGGAACCATCACCAGTCCAAACTGGCCTGATAAGTACCCAAGCAAGAAAGAATGTACCTGGGCAATAACAACTACACCAGGGCACCATATCAAATTGGTAAAGTACCAGGAAGAAGATAGTAAGATAACAATAGGCACAAATACAGTATTAATAGATCCTGATTTCATTCCCATAATGGACTATTATTCCATGCTGTGCATCAAAGAAAAGAAAGCCATTTCATTGACTATAGAAGGACAGAACAAAATTATCAGGAAGCTAAATCCTAACTTAAGCATTATCTGAACAACGTGCCTCCTTGTTAGCATCTACAGTCCTCCCACACATCAATTCATTAATCCAGAAAACTCCTGCCCACGTGGCTTCTGCGGATTACACGATTTCAGATATGATAGTGGCATCCATTATTGACTGATTGATAAGCGAAAAGGTTTTATAAAACCCAGCTGAAGGCCTAGGACTGGAGCGACGGCGCGCGTGCCCACAGAGAGGGCTCTGAGTGCCGCCTCTGGCACCCGTGCCATAGGTTCGCCACCACTGTTTTATGCAATCAAGGATCATATTAGCCTTTTTGGCTGCTGCCGCACACTGCTGGCACATATTTAAATGATCGTCCTCTAGTATTTCAAGATCCCTCTCAATTTTTGAGCCAGGTTTCAGCTAATCTCTACTTGCACATTTGGTTTATCCTGCCTAAGTGTAAACCTTAACTTTTCTCTACGTTAGAATTTATTTCATAGGACTCAAAGGTATTGTACATGCACTCTCTCCTCTTTTTCTTTTTTTTTTAACAGCAATTCTTTTTCAGACCTTCAGAGAGCTGGATATTGAACTCCACCAGGAATGCACATATGATCACCTAGAGGTTTACAATGGAAAAGATGCTAAAGCTCCTGTTCTGGGACGATTTTGTGGATCTAAAGAACCGGATCCTATCCTCTCTACTAGCAACAGGATGTTCCTCAGATTTTTTTCAGACAACTCGATTCAAAAGAAAGGCTTTGAGGCGGCCTACACGTCAGGTGAGCCTCAGTGCTGGCTCGTTATTCAATTTTGGCAGTACTCAAACAGAATTGTAGTGAGGAAAATGCTTCTAAAGCTGAGAGATGCCTCCATCACAGCTCAAAGTTGTTAGTAGATCAGGACTGCTACCTTTCATCCTTCCCCATAATAAATGCATACATCTTTGGGGAGCCTCTTTGTGGAATTACATTACATTTTAAGGAGATGTTGCATTCTTCAGTTTCCCTTCATAATGTTAAGAAAACTGAGATGCATAATTTGACCAGCAGGGCTTTGAGAACATGAGAACACTAACAATTGACAGATAACTACCTTTAAAAAAAAAGGACAGATATAGAAGTTAGGAAAGATTACTGGTTTAAACCTTTCCTGCCAATCAAAGCAGAAAACAGTTGTGGAATAGTTGTTCCAGTATGAGGCTTTGCTCACAATGTCTCATACTGTCACAACCTCTTGACTGGATTACTGCAATGGATCTACATAGGGCTGCCCTTAAAGAGCGTTTGGAAGCTTCAGCTGAATGTGGGTGCAAGGGTAGTAGATGGTGACACACATAATGCCACTGCTTACATTTGTAGATATTAGATAGTAGATATTTGACACATGTATTGTCACTACTACATGAGTTGCATCGACTGCCAGTATGTTTCTGAAGGGAATTTAAGATGCTGGTTGTCATCTTGAAAGCTTTTCATGACTTGAGACTGGTTACCTAAGAGATCATCTTCTCCTGGGTATTTCTGCTGTTCAGTTCAGTCCAGCAGGGCATGTTATGGTTTCCATTAGTCAAGGAATATCGACTGGTGGAGATTAGGAGATGTGCCTTCTCTATCATAGCCCCCTCCCTCAGGAACATTCTCTCTTCAGAGATCAAGAGGACCCTGACTCAGCTGGCCTTTCGTAAAACTGTGAAGACCTGATGGGGCCTGAGTGTGTTATTGGCTCCACTTCTCGTCTATATTAATATGTATGGCAGTTATTTTACTTGGCAACCATATATGGTATTACTGTTTTGTTTTAATTGTCTTGTGTTTTTATGAAGTACACTGCCCAGAATCGCTGGCTGAGATGAGCAGCTATAGAAATCAACTATTCAACAAATAAATAAGCCAGGTTCCACTACTTCTAGTCATTTTTCCCCCATTAGGAAAAATCTAGAACTTGCATTCATGTAGTTAGAAGACTCATCTATTGCACTGCATGCCCACCAGGAAGGGACCGTCGTCTTTCGTGGTGTGTAGACTTCTGTCCTTTCCCTCTAACCCAATTCTGGGTTCACCAAGGTCCCTAACTTATGTTTGTGTATTTTGTTGTTTCCAGAGTGTGGGGGCCAGGTGCGAGCTGAAGTGAAAACCAAGGATCTCTATTCCCACGCGCAATTTGGGGACAACAATTATCCTGGGGGTTCCGATTGTGAATGGGTGATTGTGGCTGAGGAAGGCTATGGGGTTGAACTCATCTTCCAAACGTTTGAGATTGAGGAAGAGGCTGACTGTGGTTATGACTACATGGAGCTGTTTGATGGCTATGATGGGACAGCTCCACGTCTTGGACGTTACTGTGGCTCTGGGGTGAGATATTTTATATTGCGTATTTCTTTTTCCCCGTGCTTATGCGTGGCGTAAAAACATGATGACAATGTTCATCGGGGAAAAATGGATGTAGAATACATGAAAATATTAAGCCCTTGTGTAATTAATTCACTGTGATGAATTGGTGACAGACCGACATCCCTTGCTGATTAGAATGATGTTTTCTGCAAAAGTGTTGATGGTTGGCAATGTTCTTTTTAAAATGTGGGATTTCATAGATAGCTTGGAACATTAGTATCCTGTGGTTTGAAAACAGAGGCAATATATTCAGATATTTCCATTGTTATGGAATTCATTTCTGGAACAATGGAGCTTCCAGGTTTGTGTCTTTTGGCTAATTAGACAGAAGATGTCCAGCTGTGATTTGTAAGGTCTGTCCATGTAAACGTGGCCTTGTATGTCTTGAGGAAGTTCTTTTAATGGACTCTATAAATCCTTTTTTTACATCTTTCTATGAAATCAGCCTATAAAATGAGGTTCTGGAGACTTAACACACATCCTGTTATAGATGATTTGTTCATAATAACAGGTAGTCCTTGACTTCAAAAATGAAGGAAAGAACATCGCCAGTTTTGAGCAATTATAGTACCATGTGTAGTAGGTGTAATGAAGGAAGTCTGGGAACCACTGGGGAAAAAAAGGAGAATATTTGTAGCTCAGGGTTGAAATAAGAAATCCTTGGGATCCAAAGAGCACCAAGGATCACTCAAAACAAAACAAAACAAAAAGATTATAAGGACTTTGTGTAATCCTGGGATCACAAGTTATGAGCCGTGGTGGCGCAGTGGTTAGAATGCAGTACTGCAGGCTACTTCGGCTGACTGCCAGCTGCCTGCAGTTTGGCAGTTCGATTCTCAGCAGTTCAAGGTTGACTCAGCCTTCCACCCTTCCAAGGTTGATAAATCAGGATCCAGGTTGTTGGGGGGGAAATGCTGGCTCTGTAAACCGTTTGGAGAGGGCTGTGAAGCGGTATATAAGTCTTGAGTGCTATTGCTATCTCCCTCATCACCTTAACATTTCTCTCTCATCTTCCCCTTTCTGCTAGCCTCCGGAAGAGGTCTACTCTGCTGGTGACTCCGTGATGGTAAGATTTCACTCAGACGACACCATAAACAAGAAGGGTTTCCATTTACGATACACCAGCACCAAATTCCAGGACACACTGCACACCCGGAAGTGATCTTCCAGCTACCCAAATCCCCTTCAAGTGAGAACAACTTTCCCTTACTTGAGGGACAGGTTTCCACTCTTTGCAAAAAGAAAAAAAGAGAGAGAGAGAGAGAGAGAGAAAAGACATCTATGGAGAAAATTCACATAAACTGGAAGGAGAAATACACAGTACACCTCAGAGTGCGAAACACTCTCACAAAAATAAAGGTGCTGTCAGCTGCTCGGGGCCTATGTGGACAAGGCCCAGGGTTACTGGGGGAACCCTTTCATTTTTTATTTTTTTTTAAAAAAGGACACTTGTTCCTGTGCCTCTTTTCTTTTTTGACCAGAGTTATCTCCAGGACTAACCACTTTGCAGCTTCCATCTGAGTTTTGTCTCCCCCGATTCTGATGGTTTATGGCAAAGGTATCCAAACCAGGCCATTTTAAGACCTGTGGACTTCAACTCCCAGAATTCTGGGAATTGAGGTTCACAGGTCTAAAAGTGGCTAAGGCTGGACACCCCTGGTTTATGGTTTAAAATCCAGTATTTTCCTTTACAAATTCCATAAAGCGAGTTTACTGGCAGAGATGCCTGCAAATACAAGCATAGCAGAGAGGCCCCTGGGTTGTAATGATGTAATAAATACGCTTTCTTGTACTTCTAAAGAGATGCTTATCAGCCTCTTACCATCTTTCCATTTGTGGGGTTTTTTTTTTAATTCTTTCATCTCTGAGAAAAAAAGAATATGTAACTTGAAAAATGTCTTGCTCCTTCCTTTTCACTAACTTTTTTTTTTAAATTAAAATTTGAATTGAAAACAAAAGCAAAATGTGCATTGCCGCTTGTCGTGCCTATAAAAAGAGCAAGGGCTACAGGTAGAGCATCCAAATCTATTATTTCTGTGGGTTTGAATCTTTCTATTCTTAGGTTTCCGTTGTCTGAGGTGCTTTCAAATCCTTAGGACTATTAATGAATAGATTTTTATCCTTAATAGACCTTCAGGGAGAGTGAAGAAATGATAGAAAAACAATAGCTTTGTTTTTCCTTTGAGGCATCTATTTCTAATATCCTGGTCTTGGTTTCATTCAAATTAATTTCAGCCCTCGCGTATCTGCCCTCGGTCATCAATCGGTATCAGTTTTGGTTGTAATTGTGGGTTCATATACAAAACAGCTCCCTTTTTTTTTTACTTGTCTCCACCAAAATTTGACCCAATTTTTTATGAATCAAATATTACCGGTAGTCACGTCACTTAGAGACCATTGATGGTTATGATGGACCTCCCAAAAGCTATTTACAATCGGTTCTGAAGATACAGCATCTCTTCCCCCTCCCCCCCCAGAATCATCAGAGTGCATTTAGTGTGCTTGGCAACCGGCCCACATCTTGCCCATTGTCACATGAGCAGTGTGCTCAAATGACCGCAATCTCAGCACTTCCAGTTACGGTCATTAAGTGATCTCACAAGTTGTTAAGCAGACAGGGTTTCGGGCAAGGAAGGCGGGTGCCTCAGAGTTGGGGTGCAGACACTGGGAGACCCTGTGCAGGCTGCACACGAGTGTGTGTTCAGGAGTTGCAATTCCTCCCTGCCAAACTAAACAATTTTCAGCCCCTGAGCAGAGAGATAGGGTGGATCTGGAGACAAGAGGTCTCTTTCTTGTCTTCTGGATGTAGTCAAAAAAGATCCATTCCCAAAGATTGTCATCCATAGAGGATTTACAGCCCCAGTGTTTGCAAGAATGAGTACTTGCACACACACACACACACACACACACACACACACACACACATGAGACAAGAGGGAGTTCATCTCATTTCTGGGGTTAGCTGCAAAAGGCTGGCTGACATTCTGAGGAGGCCCACAGAGAAGATTGCACATGGTAATCACACAATCACAGGGTGCTTGGCAACCCATTGTAAGTGCAAACTGGTTGCCAAGCATCCAGATTTGCAATCACAAATCACGAAGGTGCTGAAATAGCTGGTAACTTCAGGCCTGGGGTGTAAGTCCCTTTGTTGAAGTGCCCCTGCCACTGTAATTTCAGAAAATCACTGAAGGAAGGGTCATTAAATTAGGGCTACGTGTATAGTGGTGGCATTTCATAAACAACAAATATAATGGGCATGATCCGGTCAAAAAATAATTTAACACGCAGTAACTGCACTAAATGCTTTGCTAGTTAGAACACTAGCCTCTTTATATGCTGTGAATATAAACAGTTAAGCTATCATTAAACATTACTGATATCATCAGAATATTTTGCAATTTGCTGGTGAGGGCATTGTATCATGTTGAACTGCTGTTGAACTGCTTTTCTATCATGCACTGTTAGCATTGATTTGTTTCCAGGGCAACTAACAAGATAGCTATGAAATAGTAATACAATAAAAAGAAAGAACGACATTGCGTACAAAGCAATAGAACAAATTAAAAGCAACTGCTCTATTGAAAAAGAGAGAGAAAAATGAAATTAAATAAATAAATCTACTTCTAAATGAAGAGGTGGGAAAGGCCAGTGTAGTCGTTGTTACGAAGTCTGAAAGCCATCACATTTTTACCTTGTACTAAAACTGTACTAAAATAGAGCTACGGTGTGGTCAAAAGTAGAACTTAAAAGCTCAAATTTGGAGAACAAGTTTGGACTAAGTTGCCAAGTTAAAATTGGCAGCTTAATTTTTTGTTAGTTTTGAGCAGTATTCCTCAACCTTAGCAATTTTAAGATGTGTGAACTTCAAGTCATGCTGGTTGGGGAATTCTGGGAGTTGAAGTCCACGTATCTTAAAAGTTGCTAAGGTTGAGAAATACTAGTTTTGAGTTTGTCAATATGACTTGGCTTAATGTAAACACATAAGCATGCAAATACTTGCCGTAAATGCTTCATTCAACGAATGGGGACATACTAAGCTTCTGTCAAGCATGAAGAATCAGGACCACACATTAAATTCCAGTTAAGCTAATTTAATGTTCTTCCTATACAAATTCAAGAGGGGTTGGACTTAGACCGGAAAGTAACGATTCCAGGCTGATTCCTCTCTTGACGCCACCTGTTCTTCTCCTGCATCTTCTCTTGGTTCTAAAGAGCTAGAATAAGGGGCAGTTGGAGTCAAACATTTAGTTCAGAGGTGAAAAAAATTCTTACATCAGCCCCCTCCTCTAACAGATAGATAGGGTCAGACAGACTTTCCCTTTTTATCCCAAAGATGCTTTTTCACAAGGTAGCTGGACTTTCTTGTTTTTCTTTGAAGACATTTCGCTTCTCATCCAAGATGCGTCTTCAGCTCCCTTTTTATGTTTCCCTTATGTTCTCCTGAATGATGGCAGGCCATAGTGTCTCCTAAAAACATCTCTTTGAAATCACCAACACTTGGGAATATATAAATACATTTGATTGAATGGGTTGTTATCATTGTAAGGCCTTCCTAGACTGGTAAAATAGACCTAATGGCTGTGTCCATTCTTGCAAACGTGAGATGGGATTCCAACAACAAGAATCCAGGAATTACCTTGTTAAAAAAGATTTATCTTTTCCAGCATGATTTTGGATCTTCAACCCCAAAGACACACAAATGTGACATACAGGAGGCTAGCTTAAATATAGTGATGCTTATGCAAGGTGACCAAATCGTCCTCCTTTAGGGAGGACAGTCCTCCTTTTGTAAGTTCTGTCCTCTCTCGAAAAGTGTCCTCCTACATGTCCTCCTTTTCGATATTTGAAGACTAATCTGTAAACCTCCGTATTCAATCGATGCCGATCCGATCCGTTGCATATGATGTGACGTATTTGTATTTGACATGACAATTCGTCAAGGCTTGGTACAGTGTGGCGAGACGCGATTATGAGACGCATGCGCTCCGAACAGGATAATTGTTTTGAGAGAGTGCGCCGCGCGCAAGTGGCTTTGTTTACTGCGTACCGAAACACTACACGGCACACACGCACGCATTAGACTCACTTCTTTCTCAGTGAATATTCAATCATACACAGGTGAGCACAATCATACACAGGTGAGCACAATAGTTCATGTTTTATTAATTCATTATCTATTTAATAATTTCCGCCCTGAGTCCGCAAGGAGAAGGGCGGGGTAAAAATCCAATAAATAAATAAATAAATAAATAAAATTTCCAAATATGTATAATTTTATTTACAAGTTTATTCGCTTATGTTATTGTTTCAGTTTTAATAATTTAATTTATTTATTCATATTTTTTTCCTTCAATTTATTTGTGTCCTCCTTCTGATTGTAAAAAAGTTGGTCACCTTAGCTTATGACATCAACTCTGCAGCTACTGATGTCACAGAACCTCTGGCCTTAGTAGATCATAGCAAGCCATGGGGAGCAAAAGCCATAGGGAGCTGACATTAACATGGGGTAGATGGTAGGCAGAACAAAAATGGAAATTGACAAAACCAGGTGGCGGGAATTAGGTCTGACCCCAAGGCAGCTGTCCAAGAAGATTGGGGTCACCTATTCTATGGCGGAGTTCATCACCCAGAGCTACCGCAAGCCAGTTCAAGTCCAAGGCCCATGTCTAGCTTGCCCTCGATCTTCTCCACGTGGGCGGAAATGCCCTAAGAAGAACCAGTGTTTGTGCAACGAAAGTGGATGCGAAGGAGCCCCTGGTTTTGCAACCCCATCAACCCCTTGTGGCAGGAAGAGGCAAAGATGTAAAGACGAGCTGAGCGATGACGAGTGTTCTTCTACTGTCTGTACTTGGACCGAAAGAAAGGAAGTATATAAGAAGAATTCCTCCGGCTCCCTTGAAAGCGACAGGAACAACTCCCAGTGTAAAATTTCAATATGTAGCAACTTCGACACGCCAAAAGGGAACAAGCCAACTTCCTACCAAAAGGCAAAAGGCTCCAAAGGAGGGAAAAAGCCGAAATGTCGGGGACAAAAGAAAGCGAAGACCCTTCAGTGCTGCTGTTCGACACATCCTTGCCGAAAGAAAAGAATGATCCCTTTGGGTATTCACCTAGATGTGCCTTTAAACATATATCTGGATGACGACGATGGGGTAGAAGTGGAAGGGAAGGAAGTCCAGGTGTGCAAGAAATGGAAAAACAAGAGTATAGGCGTGCAAGTGCCAACCTCGCACAAAG